AAAGTACATCAAATCGGATTGAAGCTAAGGGCATACAAAACTGTCTAACAGGGGATTCATTGAAGGCTGAAATCTTGGCAGCATTGGAAGGGATCAAAAGAGCCAAGCAATTGAACATCAGAAACCTGTTGGTGGAAGGAGATTCAAGGCTGGCAGTTAACTGGTTGCAGGAGAAAGAGTCTAGTTTGTGGAAGTTCTCAAATGAATTAAAGAAAATTAACCAGATTACCCAAAACATGCAAATTCAGGTTCAATGGGCCAAGAGGTGTGCCAATTCTGTGGCAGATTTTTTGGTCAAACAAGGGGTGGGAAGAGCAAATCTTTTTTGGGCTGTGTTGTAATATGATCCTTATTGTTAGGGAGGGTTAAGTGTTTTACCTCTCCCTTTATATTGTATCTCTCTTTAATATTTTTAATAAAAGTTACTGTCAATGATCAAAAAAAATTTGGGATCAATGGGTGTCTCCCAGCAACACTGTTAAATCTTCAAGGGGCTGGAACCTGAGTACCTGACTGGTCTAAAATAGAAAGGGGTGAACCATATGGGAGATCATTCCTGCTGTGATCATTTGAAATGTCTGAAAGTTGTAAAATGCTTGACTTATTTATCAAATGATGGCTTCAGAGGATGTAATTGTGAATAGAACCCATGTCACAATCCATTCTTGGCTGTCAATTCTCAAAAGCTTCAAAGGAGTCACACCAGTTTTTTTATCACAGTAACCTATTTTTGTGATGAAAATATACTAATGCGTAGTCTCAGGGTACAGAATCTTGTGTACAAGAGAATATATTTTGTAATACTTTTGTTTCTCTTCTAGTAATAAAATCTATTCCTTACCTTTTTTTAAAAAAACTAAAATAACCAAGTTTGTATAAAAAATATCATTATTAATCACCTAGTCACACCTTAGTGCCTTTACAACTATGGATACAATCTAGAAAATGAGCATAGCAAAGATGTGAATGTTGAGATGGATTAACAGAAAAACTAGAAAAGATAAGATTCAAAATTAGCATATTTGAGCATGGTTTAAAATGTCTATATATTTCCTAATATTTCCATATTCCATGGGTCTTTTTCTTTTTTTTTTTTTTTGTTTGATCAATAACAGGATTTCATTAAAAATATTATGAAAATAATACAAGAGCAGGAGAGATAAACTTTCTTAACTCTCCATAGTATAAATTAGCTATTACAATTGAGCCCAGAACAGATTACTCCTTCCCACCCGTTGCTTTGCTAACACATAAGCAAACCCATTCACCGTTCTTTCTATCATGGGTCATCATCATCATTGTCTAAGCCTTGTCTCCCAACTATATGGAGTTGGCTACATGAATTCTATTTAGTACTGAAGATGATCAAGACTGCTATCAGTCTTGGGCACTAAGGAATTTCAGGTTCGAACAGAAGAGAAAGTGAAGGACAAAGAGGAGAAAGATTAGTGAGAGAACAGTAGAACACAGGTTTGAAAGGAAGGACAGATTCAGAATGATCTGCCACCGCCACTTCAATTTAATATTTATATGTTATGCTAGTTACATGAAAGGACATATCTGCCCTTGGTGTTTACATCATAACACTTAACAATATAAAAAACTGAAA